TGATGGAAAATATCAACAAAGGTCTGCTACACCGTGCGTTTTCGGTATTTCTTTTCAACTCTGAAAACAAGCTCCTACTCCAGCAACGTTCTTTGGACAAAATCACATTTCCCGGTCTCTGGACGAATTCCTGCTGCTCTCATCCACTGAATACTGCCCTTGAATTGGAAGAAACAGAGCAAAAGGGTGTTCGCCATGCTGCACAGAGAAAGTTGCAGCATGAGTTGGGCATCAGACCCGAACAAGTACCCTTAGAAAAGTTTGTCTTTTTGACAAGAATTCATTACTTAGCTCCGTCTGACGGAACATGGGGTGAACATGAAGGTATTGATCAATATGCGGTTAATATTAATGTGCTGAGCATCAAGTTTATGCTCACGCTTACTGCTTTTGCTCCAACTGTTTGTCTTCACTGTGTGCTTTAGTCGATTATATCTTAATAATTCGTACCGATGTTGATTTGGAAATCAACCCTAATGAAGTAAAAGCTATCCAATATCTCTCATTGGATGAACTTAAAGCGAAATTCAAGAATCCAGGCGGTAAATACTGACTTTGTCCACATTACGCGTATGTAAAGAATGGGCTGTTAGCTGATATTGACGTTGCATGTTTGCTTTGATAGATTGGAAGTTTACCCCGTGGTTCAAGTTGATTTCTGAAAACTTACTGTTTACTTGGTGGCAAAACTTGGGTAATTTGGATCAATTTAAAGAAGTAGACATCATCCATAAATTAGGGTCTTAATTTAATCATAGCTAGACTGACTATTAATATGTTGTGTATTCGAAATACTACCACGGATATTTATTATCATATACCCTGTCCGATTTCTCAATCGCAGCCCCGTACTTAATCCGCAGCACCGTGTCTTTTGATTGAGTATTGCTCGTGATGTTAGCTAGTATAAGTCTTCACATGAAAAGATAACCCGAGTTAGTATTTTGTTTCTAATAATAGTTGGCGACATCTTTAGTAATTTATAATGATAATAACTTACGCTTCGGTGTGTACCTTCAAATAAACTGTACAAGAAATCGGCACTCAAGCTATTCTTAACACCTCTCAAAGATTTTATATAAATCAGGAAGGCTGGTAATATGTATCACGTGTCCACTGTCAACAAGTGTCCGCGGTGCCCGAAAGTGGAATTTTAATGCAGGGAAGATCAAATGTTCTATTTGCCATTGATATTTCTCTTTGATAGCAACCATTGGCTCAGTAGTGTTGTTATTCGTTTTTCCTTGTTCTGAGGCTGCAACGAGGTCTTCGGATTCATCCATTACATTAATGGGTTCAGAATCGTTACCACTAGTGTGATCTTCGTCATTATCTGGTGGTTCAGGAGCGTAAAATAAACCAAGTTCATGTGATATAGTTTCCAAACATTCTATTTCTACCTCCCAATTAACCTATAGTGAAAAAGTCTTCAGAATTAAATGTTAACTAAGCAGACGACAGCCTTTATGACTTGTGGAGTACCTCGGTGCCTAATCGTAATAAAAAATTAGGCAACTTATCCATTTTGGGGACGTAATTCTTTAACAGTAGGGGGAGTGTCACCAGGTAACCATCTTCAGTGATTGTTATGCTGAAGTACTCCAAAAGCATTTCTCTCATGGACACCAACTGTTCGGTGATAACCTATACACAACGTTCAAACACATTAACAGCAATCTCAAAAAGAAAACACAACCTGTAATCCTTACATATACCTTTCCGATCTCTTCCTTGGACTTTAGCCTTTTCAATTCGGATTCATGATCTTCAAGAGCAATGTCAACTAACTGAGAGATAGGTGCAGGATTGGACAACCGAATAAAACCAAAATTGGCGAATTCTTGCAGTATCAACTGATAAAACAGCTCTTCGCTAAATAGGTGTGTAAGTAATAAAACAGCATTAAAGTAAAGAAGGTAAAAAATCTTAAACTTACCCTAATGCATTATAATTTACAAGATACAACTTAGTTTTATGTTGAATCAAGGCTAAGGTAAGAGAATCATCAACGCATCCTACCATCGTATGATTCGAGAATAATTCTGTAAGACCTTGATTACATCCAACGATTAGTTTGTAGCTTGCAGGGTTCCCACATTATTTATATTAGTAACACACCTTTATGTTCTTTGCCTATCACCTTTTCCCGAAGAGTTAAAACACTTGTCAATCTGACCTCAATTCTATCCCGTTTTCGCTTCAAACCTAAAGATGGTTTCTTATTAATTATAATATTTGTTGGCTGTTGTGATATCAGGCTGTCCGAGTTGATAATCTGTTGAGTTTTGCCAGATGTTCTCGACGTATCTTGGGGTGTGTAAAAATTGTCAAGCGTACGTGCTCGACTGTCCGTTCTGACTAGATTATATTCCAAAACTTTTCCACCTAAATGATAAATGTCTAATTTACATAACGCTTCCAGACGTTATTAATGTGCGGACTAAAGATGATAGAAGCACATACGAGACTTTGGGTTCTCTTTTTCAGATACATCGTCATTAATCGTAGATGTGCCTGGTAAAAGCGTCTACACCAAAATTAGCTATTATTAGTCGAATGCGGTAATATAGCTCAATACTCTACCTGTGTCAAGAAAGACCTAGACGTATCTGCTCCGGCAAGGCGCTCGTGGATCACATCTCCAATGGCGGCTATAATTTCATCTTCATACAGAAAATGCACCTACATCATCATAATCGTCAATAATGATATGTTGTTCGTTGAATAAACATTCGATTCCTGCTTACCTCTCGCTTTGTCGTATGCACATTAACGTCTATGTTTTGTGGTTTCATTTCTAAGCTTATATAGATAAACGGGTGGGTGCCCTTTGGAAGAAAATTTGCATAGATGCTCTCAATGGTTTTCTTCAACGCTAGACTTTCAACAGCTCTGTCTGATTAAGAAAACTACCAGAGTTAATTATACATTGTGTTCTAATTCGGAGGCAGCAGTTTAGTATATATAGTACTTACGATTGATAAACAGGAGAAATGCCATTTTTTTTACATTATAGTTTGCATTAGAGACGTAACCCTTGACCTTTAGATCCAAACTTTCCACATCTTTTTTTAACTCTAACAACTCGGAGGCAGTGCTGCTACCATATATTTGACGTATGTTATCTAAAGTCGACGCGTTAGCTAACGTGCTGACATCAGCTATATTAGAACCTTGCTAAAGGGTAATAAATAATAGATGTTGTTTACGTAGTTAAATTTGATGGAAAATAATTAACAACTTGGCTTACCTTTTTGCATGTAAAGCTAATTCCGGCATTGTAGATAGCATATCTATTAACTACATCAAGTATTCTTTTATATTCTTCGCTCGTATTCTTCAACGCCTCTCGACGCGTAGGAGCATTGTAGAATAGGTCTTCTACCTATATAGAAAGCAAATTAATTACGTGTGAAGGTGCTATGGGAGAAGCACTTCATACCGTAATTAGACTGCCAATGTTGCCGGCGCATGGCTTGGGTTCAGCGCTGACACCTGGTTTTGGTGGAACCAGTTTGCTATCTGCGTAATGTGCTCTAAAGATCAATAAAAAAAAAGATAACATCTGCATCAATGAAGTCCAATGATATAATGTAAAGAAATAAACTTCAGTAATAATATGATGTGCTAACCTGTATGCACAACTAGAATCTGCAGTTTTAGTTGTGATAGTAACATGCGCTACATGTGTGATGCTAGCCAATGCTTCGCCTCTAAATCCATACGTACTTATACGGGACAAATCTTCAAAGGTTTCAATTTTACTCGTAGTAAATCGTTCACAAACAATAGCCATGTCCTCTTTCTATTGGGATAACGACGCGCATCCGTGAGTAGTAATATTGAAGCAAACTATGTAACTGAGAACTGACACAACACCGCTCACCCTTATGCCATGTCCGTTATCTTGTATTTGTAACAGTTTTAAGCCGCCGTCTTTAACGAGAATTTGTATGTTTGTGGCTCCTGCGTCTAGCGAATTCTCCAAAAGTTCTTTGAGAGCATTTGAAGGACGACGTATTATCTAGCGTGGATGCATAACCATTCTGTTAACAAAGGCTGGAATGGCGTATTCACATAAATGGGTTATGATATAACCTCGCCAGCCGCTATTCTGTTGATAACCGCTTCATCGAGTTTCTTGATTTGACGTGAAGCTGTCATGTTAACGCGATAATTTGTGGGAAAGATCGCCGTTTGACATTTTCCCAGATTCATATTAATATCATATGATATTTTCAAATCAAGACAATTCACCTTTCCAGTTGACCGTTGCTAATATTCTCTTCTCGTGAGTCCCTCTTTTGACATCTTCCATCATTCAATTTAAAATCCTCGTTGCTATTTCACTCTATTACCTTATTACATTCTTCTCTCTCTAACCCAAATTGTCAAACTCCGCTTCTTCAATCCTATTGATCCATATACAATATGTAACAATATATATACACATCATAGAATATGCGTTTGGTTACATCAGAGTAATGACACCGAACGCGTCTGCCGTATTTTGCAGACCTCAATCTTGTTGAAATTTATAAAGTCCTAAATATTGGCAGCTTATTCAACATAAAGAAATTATAATTAACTACTGTAGGTTACTTTATATTCTTATCCAATCTGGACAATAACAATATTATTATATAAACTTTTCCTTCGAATTATTAGCTCACGTGTATTTACGTACTGTCTTGCCTGATACTGTATACTTCCAATTACCCTCAGGGATGGATCTTTCGATAGCAGGCTTGAGCTTTTACTTTACGGGATTATATTCTCTGTTCAGAGCTCGTTTGTGACATCCGAATAATACGATAATGATAGAAGTTTTTTACGATATATTATTATTTATTACCTTACAAACAAATTTGCGAATCATGTTTGGCCTTCTTATAATAAACAGCTTTAGAATCCATTTCAGTTGTGCCTAATAAAGGGCACAAAATTATCGTAAACGTAGCCTATTTTTGACTGGGCAGTCATATGAATATGCGAAGCTTTTTTTTATTATGCAACCCGTCTTGTCACAATAAACAAATGTGTTTATAATATTTATGCTTTGTGATTGACGGTCATTGCACAACATTGAACAACATCAGTTTATGTTAAAAATGAAGCCTTTAGTTTATAGAAGGTAGCATACTACTATATCTACAGCATTAATAACTGGTACAAATTTTAATTCAGTATGTACTAGTAATCCTTTCTAATTTGAATCTCTATAGCACTATTTAAACTTTTACTGATAAAAACACGTATTCTTTGTATTTCTTATTACTTGTTGGTTAAATTTAACAACGAATAGAATAAAATTGCCTCTAACATGAACAGACCGTTTTGAAAATGGGTACTCGCTTAAGAAAATGAACTGATACTCTATTATTACTAAACTTTTCAGAAAGTCGTCAAGACATATAGTGAGAGTGAACTTACTGTATTATAATTAGTGTCAATATTAATCCTTCTTTCAAAGAATGACAAAAAGATAGTATTTAATGACTACAATAGAAAAAATTATACAAATAAACATTATAGCAACTTGTTTATATTTATACACTAAATATATTATTTCCGAGTAAAATAGACAATAATGAAAAGGTAAATTTTCAGTCATAATTCTCATCATTGTATGCCAAGTCAAAACAGATAACTGCCATTAAAATAGCCTTTCAGTGGATACCAAGAAGTTTATAATCAATATTGAAACATAAAAGCAAAACCCATATTAGTGTATTTAGCAATTGGCA